CATAGACAAGAAAGAACTTTGTATGTAAGCAAACTATTTAGCTTTACATCAGAAAATAAACTTCCAAAATGGAAAGAACAGGTGGTAACGTAAAACTATTTGAAACAAAGGAAAAAAGGAATGATTGGCCTCTACATGAAAAGTGATAAAACCTAGATAATCAACATATTAGATGGACATGAAGTCTAAGTCAAGACATGATATAGCTGATCATGCAGATGAGCACTGAATCTAAACCTGTTAAAACCCTATTTTCAAACACCGACAATGAGCAAAAATTACAGGTGAATTTTGAATAATCCAAAAATAATATCAAAGAAAAAATGCAACTATGTGAAAATAATAGTGACAAAAATACTAAAAAGTAGTTTTTTTATATAAGAATACAGCAAAGAATTAGAAGAAAATGGAGGGGCCGGGGATTTAGCTCAGTGGTGCGGGCACCTGCCTTGTAAGCTCAAGGTCCTGAGTTCGAGCCCTGGTACCACCCCCCAAAAAAAGAAACCTTACAGGGCCAGGGATTTAGCTCAGTGGTTCTAGCTCCTGCCTTGCAAGCGCAAGGTCTCGAGTTCGATCTCCCATACCAAAAAACAAACAAACAAGAAAATGGAGAAAAAAGTAAACCTTTATGGGATTTACTTTCTCTCTCAATCTTTCTCTCTTCCTCTCCCTCGCCTCTTCTTCCCCCCCCGCTCCTTTTCACCATTCACCATATCTATGATGATTTATGAATAATAAAATAGGACATTCAACACTGTACATATCAATTATTATTCAAAAATGAGCCAACTTGCTATAGAAGAAAGTTCCTCGGCACTGTAAAACTATCACTCCATTTCATATTATTCAATGATTTTGACTACAGAATCATATTTCTATACAACATAACAATGACATGATGATCATACATGATTTATAAATATTTTAAATTATACTTCAAAGCTGTAATATATAATCCCAAAGTTACTTAAAACTTTTTTAAAGTATCAAGGTGTGCTGAGGTGAGGTGCAATTTGACAAGAAAGCATAACTAAATTCATTAATATTGTATATAGTACATTGAAATACTCTCTAAGCCTGACTCTTCTCCACTTGGTAATATCAAATATCAAAATCCAAATGATAAGATCATCAAGTTAAATTTCTCAATCTTCCTTGGCGTCCAAATTACAATCCTATGAAATCATTACTAGTCATAAACTTTATTCTCAAAATAAAGGCA